GGTGCGACAACCTCTTTGTTCTCGGGAAGTCCAACAGGTGCAGACTTCATCGCGTCCCTCATCAATTTAGCCCTCTTGGAGTTCTTGGCGGGTACAGCCTTTCTCTTGCGAGTTCTCCTGTCATATTCACCTTCTTCTGCCGCAGTAAGGGCCTTCGTCCCCGATCTCAAAGAACGAAGTTCAGGAGTAGGGGTCTCTACAGGAGTTCCCTCAGCTACCTTATCTTCAGGAGCAGGAGTTCCCTCAGCCACCTGATCTTCAGGAGAATCCGCAGTTGACAACCCTTCTTCAGTCCCTGCATGAACCTCTTCCCCAGAAGGCTCAATGGTAGGCAATTCCTGTGAGGCTTCAACTGTTCCGGCCGCCTCTTGTTCATAGGAAAGATACTCCTCTATCCCTGGCAAACGACTCTTGGTAGAACGACTTCTCGATTTATACAATTCCCGAATCTCGCTTATGCATGAAGTATGAATATCGTATTCTGGGATTCAAGAAACTTCATCAAACCAGTCACGAAAGTCTGCAATGGTAGAACAGCCAGGCGGTGAGTTGGGTAAGGTAAAGTGTGCATGAGTCCCTCCGGCAGAGAAGAAGAACCACACACGAGCCCCTTCGTACAGATTCTCGATTTGGGCTAATGCCGGATTAGGATTACCGACATAAAGTTGATCATATCCGAATTGTCTGGCGAATCTAGAAGGTGTGTAAGGTTCAATGATACACTTCTCCCTCAAGCGGTACACCAGATAGCCTAAACGGATCATAAGAAGCCATCTGAAAGTGCCTTCCTCTAATGAAGACGAACCCTCGAAAAGAATATCTGAAAAGAGGGCATCCTCTTTATCAGCTCCGTCAAAATTAGGAGCACAACAGAAAATTCTATAATTGTCTCCCCGGGACAAAAGCTGTCGAGCCCTGACTATATAAGAATTAGTCCACGTGGCCGACTCTAACCTCTGTACAAAGGGAACATAAGCATCATAGCCCTCAGATGCTCCCGTCATCAATGAAGGGCAATGCAATACGAACCAGGCCACCAAATACGTATACGGCATTGGTACATGTGGTGGAGAAGCCTTCTTAACCTTCTTCCCGGCAACCTTAACGCCCGGGGCTCCGAGAAGTTCGGAGGTCAACATCCGTAAGCCGCTTTGCATGCAGCTTACCATAGCAGTGAGAAGACTCACAGGTCTCCCATGCGCTAGCAAAACAGCTGGGTATACAACCTCAACTAATATTGCCTCTACCGGTTTGGACGGTACTACGCACCGTTTCAACCAGATCATGAAGAAACCTGCAAGAAGAGCCGTGTCAGAAATGGGAACTGTGGCTTGGTGGTGGAAACTCTCAAAGTCAACACCAGCCTCAAAGTTATCCTCTGCAAGCTCTGTCTTGTAAGTAGCACTGGAAGCTTTAATTCGGGTTTTAGCATCCTTAAGAGAAATGGCGGCAACACGAGACACAGCTATGTCTTTCCGGTTCAAGTTCTGAAAGAGGTATTCCGCCCACGTGGTATACATAATTCCCCCTCCGCGCATTCCGATGACTTGAGCACATATATGGAAGTGACACATCAGCTCCCAGAAAGTAGAATAGACTTCTGGATGTGCCGCCCTCAATAGGGAAAGCTCCTCGGTGGTAGGGATGAATTCTTCGTATGGCATTTTACCCAACGACAACCCCGATACCGTTTGCATCTCGTGTAGAGCAAAACCCAATTCCCCTATGGGTGTGAAAAATGTGCAGCTGTCCGGGTTATATTTCTCCAATATAGCGAAGAAATTATGATGGCTTTGCACAACCCCCCGTCGAGTAGCTAGCACAGGAGTTGTGAGACCTGATTGAGCGAGTGACTCCTTAAGCTCCTCAAGAACGAAGTCAACCATACGGGTCCACCAACCTTCTTCTCCGGAACAAACCCATCCTGGGGACCTGACCATTTGGGTAGAGAATTCACCCTAAGCTGTAATGAACTGACAAATGAAGACATTCGCTGGATGCGGCATCTCCTGAATCGGATCTTTCTTCTCAAATAAACCGGGTCTCAACCCCTTGAGTTGTCCCCCGATTTGTGTACGAGCCCGCCGACCAAATCCAAGCGATACATTCTCTCTCTCTCTTTAACTATGTCGAAGGTCAAACCCCGACGATAGCTCACATTCAAGAAGAGAGTGGGTACATCCTCTTCATGTTGGGGAGGAATAAGAAGCGATTATTAACTCTCCGCAGCAACTTTTGGGGAGGAATAAGAAGCGATTATTAACTCTCCGCAGCAACTTGGAGTCTTCCACATGTATAAGATGGTCATCGATTGCTATACGATCTCCGAATATGAATGACGGTTTGGGAAACTGAGCACGACCAATAGAGGTCTCCATGTCCAAGTCAGTGATTAAAATTCTGAGAGTAGAGCATCGAGGGAATTTAATCATGTCCCTTCTCTCCGAATAAGGGAAAGTACACAGTGTAATTCTGCTCCGAAGATTGAAGACTTCATTCGCGTCAGGACCGCCGATATATCCAAAATGATGCTCTTGGGAAAGCGGCACGTTTGGGAGCAGCACTGCACAATCAAAAGCAGAGTTTAGCAGCTAGAAGCAAGCTATTGACATAAAGACAAGTCTGAAACACAGAAGGTTAAAGTCTCCGTGGCAGGATCTCAAACGCGATGGTCGAGCCTCGTGTTAGAAATCTCAAACGCGAGGGTCGGACCTCGTGTTGAAAAGACTTAAACGCGAGAGTCGAGACCCACAAGAAGTCCCAACCCCGCATTTTCATCAAACAAAAACGAGTCATCTTCCTCGTTGTCAAGAACCCATCTAGGGTTTTCAAAGAAACTTGCCAAGGCAAGTTATTTGGGCCAACACTTACCACGATAGGGAAGCCCCTGTGACGGCAATGACGACGACGATATTCCCGCATGAACAGGAACACCGCCGGCGTCCTCAGCCGACGGAGTTTCAGAAGTCACTCCAGCGACTTTCTTGGAATCGGAATCCGTTCTCCGAGGCGCCATCGATGCAGTCGATCAGGAGAAACTCTTTTGAACAAAGGAGATGAAGTTCGTCGGAGATTTCGTCGAAACCAAACGAGAGTTCTCGTTCTTGGAAATAGCCAAAAGTGGAAAGAGTCGAATGACTCTTGATGTGACCACTCAGGTCTATTTATAACAGCCGTCAAACTGTTAAGATGGTTAGGGATTCTAAGAGAATCCTAACCGTTTTATATTTTAAAACGTAAATCTCTTACGTTTTTTTAGATAAAGTCAGTTAAGACTTTAATCCCAACGCGAAGTTCACACCTTGGTTCAAACGCTAGGCTCAGACCAGCGTTATGAAGGTTCTTAACCTCACGTTTCGTACCTCAAACGCAAGAGTCACCTTAGCGTTGCAACTTTTCCAAAGGAAGAATCTACCCTTGATACTTATCCTCTAAAGTTCATGGATTCTTTCAACAGAGTGTTTTTAAAAACCCTGCATCGCCTCAGATGGTCATTACCCTAACAGAGATTGAATTTAGTTATTATCACTACCAATATGACTACAATTCCTCTGCGAAGGTCCATTTATCGATTCTCATCAATAGAACGATAAATCTCCAAAATCATCCAAATCCTGGTTAATTGATCAACTCTCTTCAGCAGAATATCAAATAACCAATGGACCTAATTCTTTTCGGTGAGATGATAAAATCTTCCGAATCTAGTTCAAATCACAAGTGATACACTTCATCGCCCTGATGATAAAACACTTAGCAGTTCTCCCAAGTGAGACGCTACAATATTCTTTCCTCACAGATGTCACGTTAAAATCACACCTCTGACAAAATCAACTTATCGATTCTCATCAATAGAGCGATAAGTCCTCAAAATTGCTCCGATCGCAATATTTCAGCTGTCACGTTAAAATCACACCTCTGACAAAATCAACTTATCGATTCTCATCAATAGAGCGATAAGTCCTCAAAATTGCTCCGATCGCAATATTTCAGCTGTCATGTTAAAATCACACCTCTGATAAAATTAACTTATCGATTCTCATCAATAGAGCGATAAATCCTCAAAATTGCTCCGATCACAATATTTCAGCTGTCACGTTAAAATCACACATCTGACAAAATTAACTTATCGATTCTCACCAATAGAACGATAAGTCCTTAAAATTGCCATGATCGTAAATATTTCACCTCTGACAAAATCAACTTATCGACTCTCATCAATAGAGCGATAAGTTCTCAAGTTGTCCTGATCGCAATATTCCCCCTACCGAGTTAAAACTATACCTCGGACACCTATAGACTTCTTTCAGTGTTCAAAGCAGAAATGACACAGGAAGAATTCTACCAGTCAGCCCCATTACGGGAAAATATTAATCCTTAGCAGTTTGAAATTTTCTGGAGTTATCTTAAACGATAATAAAGAGAGTTTTCTGCATCAGAATTATTGTGGAGATATATTCTAAGTCGGGAATACATCTCAGGCATTTTTCGTGATTTGTTACTTAAAATCAGAACATGATAAATGCAAGAAACAATGAGAAGTCAATATCACTTTTTATTCAATAACCAAAAGAAAGTGATACAAAACAAACTTGTTCTTATCAAAAGAACATTACAAGTGTGAAGCTCACTCGTGCATCAAATCAAAAGAAATAAGTCGGGTCCTAACTTCGGTTAGCTCCTCCTCGTGGGTGGTTCGCACCATGGCTTCAGCCTTTGCCCGGAGTTCTTCCTCGCTGGGTGTGACGATACCCGCTGCTTCATTCCTGGCTTGTTCCAAAGCTCTAGCCTGCGTATGATATTCTAAAGTGCCAGTAGTATTTTGGGTTCTAAGGATATCGACAACATTTTCTTTGCGGGCAAGTTCAGCCTTTAATCACAGAACTTCAGCCTCAGCTTCAACGAGTCTATCACGAAGCGAATTCATGGAAGTAGTCGAGCGTTCTAACTCTTCTCGTTTCTGAATATTACGCTCGCGAAGCTCCGTGATTTGACGCTCTCTTTCAGTCAAGTCCCGTTCTATCGCCTCCCGGCGAGCCACTTCTGCAACCTGAAGACTGGCCAAAGTAGACACAATTTGTGGCTGAAGCTCTCTGCGACCCAAGGCCTAGAATAATCTCAGAACAGCGCTCGAACCACGGAGTGTTTCCCACACTTCTGACTCCGTTTAAGCCTGCTTCTAGAAGATGTCGAAAAGAATTAAAAGTGCCCTGACCACCCACCACATATTCAATCACCTTCTTGGCGAGGCTATTCAAGTACACCAAAGAGATTTGAAAGAACTCAGGTGCGCCCGCGAGACTTGAAGATGCTCCCAGAGCCATTGAAATTGGTGCAGGGGAGCCAGGTGCTGAAGCTGCAGAGGCAGTAGAAACATTCAATTGTGATGGGCTCGAGGTCAAAGCCATCATTGCCCTTGCCTGAGACGTGCTGGGCCTCGCCTCTGTTGGTGTAAGTGAGATCTTCATCAACGCGGCAGGTGAGGCAGCTGCCGAAGACGAAGCAGGCAGAGGCTGCTCTTGCGAAGCAGGCAGAGGCTGCTCTTGTGCGGGAGCTGACACCGGCATGAGCTGTTGTTCCAGAGAAGGGGTCGCATCAGTAGTTTCAGGCAATGCTACAGGTGAAGCAGTTGCCGTAGGTGATCCAGGTAAATGTTGCTCTTGTGAAGGAGCCGATACTTGCGCTGGATCCTGCTTTGAAGTAGTAGCAGCAGTAGTCTTGGAAGGAGGCGAACCTGCACGAAAAAAGGGTCGGAACGCGGAAAGAACATGCGGAAGAATTCGAAGAAAACTAGGCTTACCGGAGATGTGAAAAGGAGTATAGCCAGATGCTTTATCGGATGGGACTTTGGGAGCATCATCAAAAATGGTTATGTCATCCATAGAATTATGCTCTTCTTCCCCCGCGTCATCACCTGGCATGTTGCCAACGCCAGCATCCTCATCATCTCTATCTTCGTCAGCTGCATCACTAGTTAAGGAGCCGTCATAATAAACTCGCTCCTCATCATCCTGAGCAGCTGAAGGTTCCGGAAGATCTGTGCCAATAGCTGGTTTATTCATAAGTCCCGTTGTAGGACTAGGAATTGAATCATGAGCTTGTGACATTAAGGCTGAAGGAGAAGGGGATGGATTCTCTTCGAGACCCCCTGGTTCTAATGCAGGAGACTTAGGAAGGTCTATCACCGGAGTAGATTCTGCATCTGCAGCCATTAACTCATCCTCTTCATCTTGGGGGGGATGGTAAGAAGAAGCATCGCTCGATAGGGCTGGGCCATGAGAACAAAGCCCAGTTTTATGTGGCAAGCCCGCAATAGAAGATTCCTGTTGTTCTTCATCTTCAGCAGCTCTGATGGCATCAGCCATCAACTTAGATTTTTGTTGGCCTTTGGGGGGAGGCGAATCAACCAGCAACTTCCGACGAATCTGTTTATCGTATTTGCCGGCTTCATCCGCTGAGAGTTTTCTCTTCCCAGCTGCTCTGGTCATGGGGGGATCAACCGCTTGTTGCTCTTCCGCCGGAACAGGCTCAGCTCTTTGTTCCTCTTCCTGTCCAGCCGGCTGATTTTTGATGGATAGGAACTCATCAATCCCTCTCAAGCGGGATGTCTTGGACCCCTTTCTTAAAGCATACATATGCCTAATGTCTTTTAGGCAAGATGTATTCAGGTTGTAATTGGGAGTCTGAGAAGCGGCGAAATACCAATTACAGAAGCTTATAGAAGTGTAGGAGTTGGGTGTTTTATGGGGAAGCCTGAAGATGGCTTTGGTACAACCTGCTACAGAATAGTACCAAGCCCTGGCTCCTTCATATAAATTGCCTATAATTGAGAGTTGAGGACGAGGGTTCCCGATGTATAACTGATCATACCCAAATTGACGAGCGAACCTATAAGGTTGGTAGGGCTCGATGAAACAGTTGACGCCTTGTCGGAAAATCAAGTAGCCTAACCTGATGGAGAGAAGCCAGTGGAAAACACCCCCACTCAACTGAGTGAATCCGTTAGAACCCGCTACGTCCTGATATTCGGCTCCGTAAAATCCGCCCTCAAAATCAGGGAAACAACGGAAGATATGGAAGTGGGTGTCTCGCGCCAAAATTTGGCGAATTCTAACCATATACCCCCCTTCCCATTTCGCAGATTCTAGTCATTGCACAAATAGGATGAATGAATCTTCTAGGGGAGAGGCTACACTCATCAAAGGAGGATAGTGGAGCACGTACCAAGCCATTAGATAGGTGTATGGCAGTGGCACCCTGGGGTTGGGAGTTTTGAAAGTCTTGTGACCCCCAGACTCCACCTCTGTAACATCAATGAAGTCCGAGGCCAACTCCCGCAGCCCATGCTGCAAACAACTCACCATGGCATGAAGGAGGCTCACAGGTTTTCCGTGGGCTAAAAGGACAGCTGGGTAGATCACCTCAACAGCGAGGGCGTCGACCGGCCTAGTAGGAATGACGCAACGCTTGAGCCACAGCATCAAGAACCCAGCCAACAACGCTGTGTCGGAAATTGGAATCAGAGCTTGATAATGGAAGCTTTCAAACTCTGTATGAGCCGAGAAAACATCTTCCTTAGCCTCATTTGTGTAGTGGGAGGTAGCGTTGTCGATTCGGGCTTGAACTTCCTCCAAAGTGCTTGCAGATAGTCTGGTCACTGAGGCTCCTTTATTGGTCAAATTCTGGAATAAATATTCCGCCCAAGATACTTGTTTAATGCCGCTTCCTCGAGCCCCCGTCAGCTGCATGCAAATGTGGAAGTGACACATGACTTCCCAAAGGGTGGAATAAATTTCGGGGTTGGTCTTCTTCAAAATTTTAAGTTCCGTGGATCCCGGAACAAACTCTTCGTACGGCAAATCCCCAAGAATAAGACCCGAGACTTCATGCATCTCGTGAAGAGCGAAACCTAACTCCCCCACGGGGGTGAAAAAAGTACAAGTCTCGGGATTATACTTCTCCAATATGGAGAAAAAATGAAAGTGGCTCTGAACAATCCCGAACTTGGTAGCCCGTACAGGAATCTGCAATCCAGCTCGGGCAAGAGGGGTTTTCAATTCATCTAAAACGAACTTGGTCATCCGGGTCTACCACCCTGTCACCGGAGAATGCACCCAGCCAGGAATTCTAAATCCTTGCGCGGGAAACTCTCCTTTCTTCGCCACAAACCTCTTGACAAAGGTATTTGCGGGGCTGGCCACCTCGCCAAGGGGATACTCCTTAGCAAATAAACCTGGCCGCAAAGCTGTCACCTGCCTGTTGTAACCGAGTGTGCGGACCCCGAGAAAAGTCAGAGTTCTGAGAATAACCCCATCCTGATCCTTAACCAGGGGCCAATCCATACGCCGTGGGATGGAAGCACACTGGAAATAAGAAAGTGGGTACATCCTCTCCATATTAGGCAAGAAAAGGTTGCGGTCCCCAACTTTCCGTAACCACTTGTAGTCCCCATCGTAAGCATTATCCGCCTCGAAATCAACAAAATCCCCGAAGAGGAATCCAGATTTGACTATTGGCTTATGGCTCGAGTTTTCAAGTCTAGCGTCCGTAACCAATATTCTAAGGGTCTCGGGAGAAGCTTGGGTGATCAGTTCCATGTGACTCTTTTCCTTAATTCGGAAAACAGGGAGTTCTTGGCGTAGGTTGAATGTTATGTTCATGTCCACACCACCTTCATGTCCAAAATGGTGGCGAAAAGGAAGAGGTTGACTGGTATGACGCACTGCAAAATAAAGAAAAATTTAGACAAGGCAAATACAAAGCCCAGACGCGAAGGTCGACTCCCGCGTCAGATAAGCTAGGACGCGAAGGTCAAACCTAGCGTCAAAAATCTTAGACGCGAAGGTCGAGCCTCGCGTCAAAGAGTTCAGACGTGTAGGTTGACCCTCGCGTTAAGAATCTGGGACGCGGAGGTCGAACCCCTCGTCAAAAAGATTAAATGACGGAGTCTAGCCCCGCGTTATTGAAACGAGTCTCCTCGTTGATCTAAAGATTAGAACTTGTCGAAACAAGTTTCATGACCACGGAGGTCGTACTCACCGCCAATCAAAGGGAGTTGAGGCGGCACGTTCGCCTGAGCAGCAGCGCCGCCGGCCGGCACTGATGAGGCAGATCCTCGAGCCGCATCGGCATCAGATTTGGAAGCAACTGGTTTCTTGGGCGCCATAGAATCTCGTCGGAGGAGATGAGCAGTGTTCGCCGGAGATGAGAACGAAGATTTTTCGTTGAAATTTCAAGAAGAGTCGAATGACTCTTGATTTGACCTCTAGCGGTCTATTTATAGACAGCTGTGAGCTGTCAAATCGTAACGGACGGGATTCGAGGCCAGAATCCCGCCTAAACTCGACCCTAGCGTTCGAGTTAGTTGAAATTCCAAAACGCTGAGCTCACCCACGCGTTCCAATTCTTAAATGCAGAAGTTATTTGGACAGCTATAATAGCAACTTCTTGACTACCAAGGCTATCACAATCATCAAGGCGACCAAAGCCGGGGAGAAACAGGCGACTCCGTTGGGGAGTCTATTAGAGAAGCACAGATAGATTACAGTCAACAATATTAGAATCATCTGGCTCGATCAGACGGAGTGAGCAATTAATTCATTAAATTTTGGGATCCAAAGTATTCCAAAAATTCGTCCCAGTCAACCGCGAACTTTCGAAAACTTTGGAGGGGGTTCTGTAGACTGTCTAAAAAATCACAATAGATAGTTGATCCTCATCAAGCCCCGACGATGAAAGTTACAATCAGACGACTTCCTAATCACTGTATCTGTAACTCTGCAACTGCTACAAACACGGCCTCATTTCTGAGATGATTGATCTTGATGGTTGCGACAACAGAATGACTAATATTATATTAGCAACTATTAGAGATGCTGATGAGCAGTGTAATGATTTTAGAAATAAAAGGTTGGACTTAGTTGGTGAGTTGCTTGGTAAAGAGCTGTGGGCAAATATTCGTCTAAAAATCACTATGGATGTTTGATTCCCGTCAAGTTCCAATAATGGAAGCTACAATCAAATAGTTTTCGTGCCGACAAGCGAAAGCTGCAAATAGAGGACTTTTCACATAGATCGAGAAGAGTTACAATTCAACGACACTTCCGACAACTGATGAAAACTCTATTCAGCAGTCTCTACAATCTATAGTGAAAGTTAAAAACTGACGACTTTCATATTCCACAACAGCTAAAGCTAGGATTACTGAACAACGGTCCTTGCAACGCTCTTAGAAGAGGTTACAGATCAACTAATCTCTTCTAAAACGCGAAAGTCATCCCCGCGTCTTAATTTTGGAAATACAGGCGACCCCCGCGTTTCCAAGCTATAACAAGCCAAACGCGAGCGACCCTCGCATTCTGGGTGTTCAGCCAACACCCAACCCCGCGTTTCTAAGCTATAACAAACCAAACATGAGCGACCCTCGCGTTCATTGGTGTTCAGCCAACACCCAACTTCGCGTCTCAATTCTAAGAGGTGACGTTGGGTTCTGAATGCCAGATTGGGTGTTTGACTCGTTCAAATACGAGTCGAACGGTTTCAGAACTGTTTCCCCACGATCTGAGGAAATCACGCCCACTTAGGAGCGGATTTAGAGGGCAGTTACAACCTCTTATCCACCTATAAAAACTCAACAAACTCAACTGAGTTAAGGGCTGGTTTTTTTTTTGGTACGAAGAGGCAGCAAATTAGATCTGGAGGATCTCAACTGCACAGAGAGGCGTGAGAGAGGCAAAAATCCTTGAAGATAGGATTTTTGAATCAAGTCCAGAAGATCAAAACCGAAGAGATTCTTCAACAACAGAATATCTGCTTGGTCATTAACCGAATTTTCGGTTCTAACAACTCTATTCACAGAGTTCTAACTCGCTCAGAGTTCTTAAACTCGTACAAGAGTTACTCATAAATCTTTTCCACAGAAGTTCATCGTTCCCACGAGATAAAAGACGGTCGGATCATCAACGGAGAGCAAATTCGACGCGAACAATCGAAGGAGGCACTCCATCGCTACCTTGAAGAACCCAGTTTTAAACAAAGGAGAGAACAAAATTCGTTCTCTTCTCTTTTGTAATCGAATTGTAATGGAATCAAAGAAATACAAGTCAATTTTCTTTTGTTCTTTTCATTACAATTTTTCCAACATACAAGAAGCCATATTATTTATTCGGTGACTCTGTTAAGGACCCGATTACTATACCCCTTGAAGCCGAGCAACGGTTGCACAAGGACGATGGGGGCTCTCTATATATCCCTCCCATTCCTCGTAATCGCTCATTGATTAAATTACGACGGAAAGCTGTTAAACGAGAGATATCGTGGGACATGACGGAGGAACGTGAACGCGTCCATTGTGGATACATCACTCATCAATCTGCTCTTGGTTCACGTGACAGAAGTCATGTCACCGAATTGCATCCTGGTGTATTAGGATTGAATGACCCGCCGCGAGGTGAACTGTGACAATTGCCAACACTTTGAAGAATCGTCTCATGAGATTAGGGCGAGAGATGCCTGCCACTAATCACCGGTGTTATGGTTGGGTCCATTCCTCAGATAAACTTTGGTGGACTCACTTAACCAGCCATGTTCTCGCCCGATGGGGTGAAGAATTGAAGGCCAGCGGTCTATACGCGAC